CATCAGCGACATCAACCAGTGAACAACATAACGATTGGGTTAGGATAGAGAAGAAAGCCCAAATTATCCGTGAAAACGCACCCATGGGATCGGATAATGTTGGCATCAGTGACTGATCTAGCTCTATCATTCTATTTAACACTCCTGTCCACAATGATGGCCTTCTGGGGCATAAGGACACGTTTGACAGGCAATAGTGGAACTACCTTTGTGTCATGCTAGGTCTGGGTGCTCTCGAGGCAAAACTGTGTCGACTGTACAAACGCACCCATTCACCCCCAGGGAAGCCTCCACCAATGCGAGTGACCCTTGGCTCAACAAAAGACGCTGAAAGGTTCTTATTACTGTCACACACTCCAATCATCAACAGATTGTCCATGACCTCACCGAGACTAATGGCTTTCAACTTCGAATCCCCAGAAGTTCTTACCAGAGCGCTACAGACATGGTATAAAGTCAAGAGCACCATGAGCGGGAATGTTCGCTGCTGTAAAAGCAGGCCAAGAACACTGAGACAACATCAGACAACAGTTACTAACAGCGCACAGGCCACCATCACCCGAAACCGACACATTGAGAGTCAGACCGGCAACCTCCACATAACACCGACTGTACCAATCGACCCGGGAAAAGACGTAACTGGGCTGGTCCTATTGGAGCTGGCCAATCAGTTAAAATTCTACCATACGAGCCTATGCCACTAGTTAACCCAAAGACATTTCACGTTATGAGGAGCACTCCCAAGTGTCTTTGCAGCAGCGTGAGAGGACTCCGGAGTAAAATGTCAGAACCCCGATCACTCTGTTCCGACCTTGACCCGGAAATCATGATCCTGAAGGAAACATGGTTATCACCGGACATTAGTGACACCGAAGTTAGCATAGACGACATGCTTCTGTTCAGGAAAGACAGAGAACACAAAGACGGAGGGGCTTGCAGTATACATGAACAGTTGGTTCAAAAGTGAACAAACCACTGACACTGTACTAACAGAGCTCCCAGACTCTATCTAGTGCCACTTCACGTTCAAACACACTAAGTACCTAGTTAGAGGAATTTATAGGTCCCCTAATAGCAACGTGGAACACAAACAAAAAAATACTCCAAGTAATATCCACAGTGTCGACCAAGTGGTATGACCAGATCATAATAGCTGGCGATTTCAAGGCTCCAACTCTCAACCCGGAGCAAGGTGGCACGATTCCCAGCTGAAAGTTCGACTGTAACCCACTAAATGCCAACCGAATGGCTGGACAGAACGAAAAAAATCAGCGACAACACCCTCTGGGGGTCAGATGGTGAACCATCTAAACTGGATTACTTATTGACTAGTGATCACCTTCTGCTTGAAAACACCTCGGGCAAAACTCCTCTTGGAAGGAGCGATCATGCTATGGTAGTGTTTGACATGGAAGCAAAGCCTCACCAATATCGCGGTTGTTGGCGTCTGCATGCCTGAAGACGTGTCAGCCAGGTTGGAATTAGTCACGTATCAGTTCAGGTCACAAAGCAGTTTAATCTGTCTGAAGTATTCTTAGTTCCATGTCAGGTGTCTCCATCACCAGGTTAGAAAACAATGGGAGATTCAATGATAATTGGTAAGTCAGCTAAGAACAAGAGGAATGGCAACGGAATCAAAACTGCGAAAACCAAACCGGAATAAAACGCTAAAAACATTTTCAGGCGACATAAAGGTATCCGGAGAAAAGAGGTTATTCCAGGTCAACCTCACCAAGACACTTGAAGTAAAACCCAAAAAAATTACGCCGATTGATGGCAAAGAGAAAACCGATAAGCCAAGGAGCATGCGTCATAAAAGGTCCGAAGGGAGGAAACCTCTCTGGGTTGGAGATCGCCGAAATGTTAAGCACCACATTTGATACACAGCCCAACATTCCGTCAGGAAAGAATGCATACCTACTGCCCGAACAGCCCCCAAAGTTATCCGACGCTGCGGAGTTACACGAAGTACAAATAAATCGTGCTACTGTTCTCGACAAACTAACAAAGCCAAGCGCGGGGAAATCTCCAGGATGCGACGACATTCGCCCACCTATGTTGAAAAAATTTGCAAGCACCCCAAGTGCCCCACCATGCAGTCTCTGTCAACACTCTTTGGACGAACAAAAACTACCACGAGAGTGAAAACGGGCCATCCTCTCTCCTGTCTTCAAAGCAGGAGACATGCAGAGTCCAAAATGTTACAGACCCATAGCACTTCTACCAATAATATCAAACGTTATGGAGGGTGTGATAGACGACCGCATCGGGGAATATCCGGACACAAAGCAAGCACTCAGTGACGCTCAACATGGCTTCCGAAAGGGTAGGTCTTGCGTCTCCAACGTCCTGACGGCCCACGGTCACCGGACAGCATGCTGGGACCTCAAGGTTGCGGTCCATGAGCTTTTCCTGGATTTGGCCAAAGCCTTTGACACAGTCCCGCACACCATCCTAATACACGAAATAGCTAGGTTGGGCATCTGCGGCCGGGTGCTATCGTGGCTGCAGAACTACTTAGACAGTAGGGAGTTCTGCACAAAAGTCAACAGGGCCCACTCAACTTGGAGAACATCATCATACAGTGTCTCACAGGGGGCCATCCTGGGCCCACTCTTGTTCCTACTATTCGTGAGTGACCTCCCGCTGCATATCAGCTCTCCGATTCTCCTGTACACTGATGACGTTAAGTTATGGAGGGCGGTGACTTGCGAAGCGGAGTCGAGTGCACTACAGAACGGCCTCAAGACACTAGAGGAACGGGCAACAAATAACGAACTGGCATTTAACTTGGATAAATGCCGGTCCATGTTTTTCTGCACTCCCGATTCCCAAAAAGTATCCCACTCTCTCCATGGTTCACATTTATTCCATACCACAGCAGAAAGAGATCTGGGTTTAATGGTGACGGAGAAGCTGGACACCAGTCCTAATTACTCAGGAGATGCCTCAAAAGAATACGGCGTACTACACTTTGTGCGCAGACAACTGGGCGCCCTCATTCTAGAGCTCTTTCTGAAAATCTACAAGACTTACACATGACCCCACCTGGAGGTCCATAACTTCTTCGCTCCACCACGACTGAAAGGAGGCACAAAACTACTGGAGAAAGTTCAGAGGCGAGCGACAAACGGGGTTTTTGGGATGCAACAAAAACCATATTGGGATGAACTGAAGGACCTAGGTCTATGCAGTCTTAGTTACCGAAGGTTACCGGGTGGCCTGATGATGGCTTGCAAAATACTGAACAACACAAGGTCACCCAAACACAGGAATACTGAGTGGCCAAGATGGTGATCCTCGTGGAAGCCCCAAGAGAATTGCACACCAAAGGACAAAAACTAGTGTCCGTTCACAGTTCTCCCCGCTTGTGGTCCGTGGGAGCTGAAATGCATTGCCAGCAGAAGTAGTCTCCGCCTCATCTGTTGAAAGCTTCATGAAAAGGCTAGACAGTCACGCAGAGACCCGTGGTCTACCCACATGTAGCTGGAATACGAACTTAGCAGAAATCTACTGCTGTCACTCCATTCCAACTATTTTACCTCTACAACCAGTTTTCTTTCTACTGCAGCCATTTAAGCTCTTTTCATCGCTTCCACCTGGAATGAGTTAGCTCTTACCACCTAAGTTCTTCATATCTTTGCACCCCTTATAGCCTAACTCGGGTGTAAGTAAATTACTCCATTAGTTCACTTTTCTTTTCCCTTTACTCACGCAAATTTTCTTTCCGGGGTTTCCTCTTCACTATCCCTAACGCCCTCTAACGACCAGTCTGAACAACTGTCTGGCAACTCAACATCTGAAGAAGCCAACTGTACCACAGTCCAAGGCGAACTAACCAACACTTAACCTGTTTTGTATACCACAGCTGTAGCAGATGAGTGGCTGGATCTACTGCACTGGAATCCGCCAAAGACCTGGAACCGTTCTGCAAGACTAAGAAGCGAGCAAGAAGGAACCAACTGGTTTACACAAGCTTGTTAAACAGATATTGGATAATACATTATTCAAAGGTTTTTCAAAGGCAACTACGAGCAGCTATATACCCGATAGCATACACACGAATTGTGCTTTGAAACGACATCACTACGGCGTCAAAATCTGTCTAAATTGACAAATCAATGGATTATCCAAATACGAGCACAGGCATTTTTTGTTGCACACCAGGGACCATCAAATATTCAATGTCATGAACGCCCCAACTATTAGCAGTAAATTACGGGAAGTTGGCAGAATAACAGTTTGATCAAGAGATACCGTGTACTTCTGTCAATCAAAGCCTATGCAACATGTGTACATGTCAGTTCCTAACCAGTTGACGTCTCCATGGTCTGTATAAAATCAGCGAACTCGTGCACTAGATATTTTTAAGATCAACGTTTGAATCATCAGAACAACGTCGTGAGCCACCCTACTCGATGGCAACTACAGCAACTACATCGCAATAAACACCATATTTGAGAATCAGAAACAGCGTGTAGACACTACGAGCATCTCATGACGTTGATGAACTCACGAGTAACTCTGATGTGCATTCCTAGAATAACATTGTGTCCAAATCACAGATGGGTGCAATAGCAAAATACGATCATTATTAGTCTGAAGTATACATGACATTCTTTAACTCTGTTGAATATCGGTGTGTTGGGGAACCTACCAAAGACCTAAGTTATGAATGCACTAAAATGGTTTCACAATCTGTGAAGCATCACAACCGACAGAAGGCCTTAGACCATTGTGCACGAATACACGGCAAAACATTGGCGCTGTATGCAGTAGAAACCAGTTCAGGAATGATATAATGAGAAACACAGTATCTATGCATAACTGCGTGCAACCATCCGTTAGATCAGTACATCGACCAAAAGCATGTGAAGAATGACAATAAACAGCTCAAGTGGGTAACGTAAGCATTTGCATTAACATGTTGCTGTCTATTTTAAGTTCAGTATCCACGCACAGTTCAAACATAATACTTGAGTAAATAGTAGGAAACTCACCTCTTTTTCTTCCTCTTTAGTGGTGTTGACCGGAGCTGACGTAACACACTTGGCTGACAAAATTAATAGCACCAAGTACAACTAGAATACATTATCAGAGAACGGGCTCGAAAACTCACCATCTGTAAATGTCCTTCAGCTTCAAGTGTCGCAAACTGAAACTTCGTTTGATGCCTTTGTACATCTGATCGAAATAAACAATGGCAGTTTCAAATGGTCGGCAATGTTACTTAGTAAACACTGTGCCTCCATTCAAAAATCTTGAAGTATATGCGCGATTGTTGTTCTACTCAGAAATGTTTCGAACTGCTAAACCCAGCTTGAGCTATATTCTTCAATATTCAGTGCCAAGTATTTTTACATGAGCTAGTATAAACAGGCTGATTTTTTTCGCACTCTTTTTTAGGTCTTGCGAATTCCTAATGGGCTCACTGTATTGAGACGCAGCATCCTGTACCAAAGAAGTTGTCACCCCTGGTTAGTTATCACTGATTTATCAAAGAGAATATTAATGAGAGTTTACGTGACTTTCGGAACTGATGTTGTTAATATGGAGTTAGCCCCCAATATCCAGTATCTGCTCAACGAGCTTTTCCAAGCCAGTTGATTTCTTCTTGCTCACTTCTCGGGTATTGAGGAACGTTTCCAGGTCTTTGGCAGCTTCCAATATCCAATATCCAATGTTGATAGTGCGAGCGTAGAAAACTGGTAGTCTTTGATCTCTGGCGTCTAGTTCCTAGGGCTTGGTTCGAGTTGTTCGGTTCACTCCTGCAGTGGACGAGGAAATCCAGTCTGCTTTCTTGCTTTTAGCTTCGGTTCGGTGAGGTGGATGTTTTGTGGGTTAGTAAGTTGTAATTTGTAGAGTAGTTGGGGAGCTACGGGTTGCTGGGAAGTTCAGGGAACTGCCGTGACTCCTGTCTGCGTAGGTACCCGAGAGAGAATAGTAGGGTAGTGGTAAAAGAATGAAGAGAGAAGAAAGAAGAAATAATAATAAAGAAAGAGAAAAGGGAAGGAGAAGAAAAGGAGGGGTGAAAAGAGAAATAAGAATTAAAGAAAAGCATTTGGGAATTGAGTAAATGGTCGCGTGGGTTTGGTTCCTGCAGAAGAATTAGTAGGTTATGTGGGTGTATCAAGGAGGGAGATGGTGAGTGGTAGTTAGGAGGGAGTTGGGGGCTAGTGAGGTTGGTGACTACCTGGGTACGTCTGTGGCAGTCCATGCGAGGTGACATAGCTGTCTAATCGTCTCTTGAATGAGTTGACTGAGGGAGCTATAACGATATGTCGTGGTAAGGCATTCCATAAAGCACATACTCTTAGGGAGAAAAATTTGGACCTGAGTGTGGTGTTGGCTCTCTGGTGTGCTATCTTAACGGGGTTTCCTCGTGAAGATCGTTCAGTTGCAGGCAAAATCGATTTGTTTGCATGGTCTGCCTGGTGGGCGATCTTGTATGTCCTCTTGTATACCCCTCCTCTTGTGATAACCCAAGGTAAATAGGTCTAGGTGTTTACGTCTTTCAGGATACGTCTTTCCCCCTAGCCCCATAACAGATTTTGTTGCAGTTCTTTGTATCTTTTCAAGGAGATTAGGGTCTCTCTTTAGTGTTGGAGGAGCCACCGTATTGAAGACCTCTAGGTGCAGCTGCACGTGGGATTTTAAAATAGTGAGGGAGGGTTCAGAAGTGAGGGCCCCAAGCTATCTACGCAAAAAGTGTAGGATGGCATTTGCCCTGGTTGTCACACCTTTGTAGTTGGAGCTGGTGTCCAAGGTATCGGAGAGGTTGAGCTCCAAATCTTTCTCCACAGACACTCTGGGGATAGCACGGCTGCTCAACATGTACTGGAGGTCGGTCGTACTTGCCTCATTTTTACTGATGTGCATTACTTTGCACTTTCCAGGTTGAAGCTCAGGCCATTTTCCGAGGACCAGAGCTCGAGTTGCTGCAAGTCCTTTTGTAGTGCTGCACAATCAGCTTCTTCGTTTACCACCCTCCAAATTTTAATGTCGTCAGTGAAGAGGAGGATGGGTGAGGATATTTTATCTGGCAGATCGTTGACAAACAGGAGGAACAGAAGTGGTCCTAGGATTGCTTCTTGGGATACTCCTGACGTCGACGGTCTCCACTCCGACCTTATTCTGTTCACTTTAGTGCAGAACTGCCTCCCTTCCAGGTACTCCTTGAACCAAGAGAGTAGGGGTCCACTTATACCAGCTGACATGATCTTGTGAAGCAGCACTGTGGGTGGGGCACTGTCAAATGCTTTGGCTAGGTCGAGAAGTACAACATGTACCGGTTTTCTATTATCCCAGCTTTGTGCCCAGTCGTCCCAGGCAGTTAGTATGTTGGTGGCACATGAGCGACCACTCCAAAAACCATATTGGGCAGTATGGACAGTGTTTTCCATACTGAGGAATTCCCAGATGGTGTCAACTACCAGGCTTTCCAACACTTTCGATACAATAGGGAGTAGGGCAATTGGCCTGTAGCTGCCAGGGCTTTTTCTGTCTCCTCCCTTGAAGATGGGTGACAAGATGGCGCTCTTCCATTCTCTAGGGAGTTTGCACGAGTCTACTGAATGCTCATAAAGGTTGCGAAGTGGTTTAGTAAGCGCCTCGGCACAGTTTTTCAGAACCACTGGTTTTAGGTTATCGCAGCCAGGGGACCCGCCTGGATGTAGCCTAGATAGCTTCTCTAACACTTTTTCTTCTGTAATTGAGATGTGACAGATGTACTCGTTATTTACGACCTGGTCGGTGTCGTAGCGAGTCAGTGTGGATCTTGTGTCAGTGCTAAGTTGGGCTTGGAAGTGTGAGCTCAAAAGCTTGACAATCTCTAGACTGCCTAGCATACCCCCGCCATGGCCTGTGACAAGATTCGCTCCCTTACTGGTCGACTTTCTTCCCGACATGAAGCGGAACAAGTTTTTGGGATTGCTTTGTGACGTCTTCGCCAAGTTTGTTTGATAGGAAAATCTGTCACTACGCACTCTAATGTTACAGCGGTCGCGAGTCCTTTTGTAGTCCAAGAAGTCAGACTCCCTGCGTGATGTATGCCACTTGCACCAAGCCTGCTTCTTGCTCTGGATAAGCCTCTCTGTCCCGCGCTTTAACCATGAGCTTCTCACTAATTGTCTGTGTGTTACTTCCGGTACACTGTGACTAATGGCCCCAGTGATTATTTTCTTCACCTTCAACCAGTGATCATCTGTTGTGAGATCAGCCCAGTCTACCGGCCATGATGCATTCGTGAGATAGTCCCTCATGGTCTCATAGTTGGCTTTGCTTCAAGACCGCCTTGATGACCATTCCCTTATGTGTAGATTCCGATGCACTAGATCCAGCCACTCGCCTGCCACAGATCTGGCAAACAGAAGAGGAGGTTGAGCGTTAGGTAGTTTATCTTGAACTGTGATACAGTTGGTTTCTTCAGATGTTGAGTTACCGGACAGTTTTCAGACTGGCCGTTAGAGGGAGTTATGGATAGTGAAGAGAAAACCTAGAATGACAGATGTGTGTGAGTAAAGGGAAGAGGTAAGTGAATTAATGGAGTAAACCACTTGGACCCAAGTTAGGCGAAAGGGGTGCAAAGATATGAAGAACTTAAGCAGGTGAGGATAGTTCACGGCGGTTGAAACGGGTGAGTGGGGCTAAAATGATCACAACAGAAAGAAAACTGGTGCTGAAGTGACACAGTTTGAATGGCATGGCAGAAGTTGGCTTCATCTGTATAGTTCGTATTCCAGCTACATGTGGGTAGACCATGGGTCTCTGCGTGACTGTCTAGCCTACTATCGAGACATGAGTCGGAGACTTCCGGAAATAATCCTGGTGAGGACTTGACTTACGCCGAGGCCAATCACTACCTATTCGAACTTGTTATATACTCGCGAATACGGGATTAAGAAAGAACACAATAGTGTAATCGGGTGGAGCAGTACAGTTGCGAGGTCCGCATAAGATGCCGATGCATTCGAACTGACTGGCTAGAGGGTCGATTACGAGCAGTGCAACGTAACACGGCAACGTGCCGAATAATGCGGATACTTGACCGGGTTCCTTGAGCTCAGTAAGTCCAGGTAAACTATGAAGATCAGCATCGGTGTTGAATCTCACTGAGACCTGGACCATTGATTCTGGAGAATTGGGCGACGCTACAGACTACCTCTGCTGGCAATGCATTTCAGCTCCCACGGACCACAAGCGGGGAGAACTGTGAACGGACACTAGTTTTTGTCCTTTGGTGTGCAATTCTCTTGGGGCTTCCACGAGGATCACCATCTTGGCCACTCAGTATTCCTGTGTTTGGGTGACCTTGTGTTGTTCAGTATTTTGCAAGCCATCATCAGGCCACCCGGTAACCTTCGGTAACTAAGACTGCATAGACCTAGGTCCTTCAGTTCATCCCAATATGGTTTTTGTTGCATCCCAAAAACCCCGTTTGTCGCTCGCCTCTGAACTTTCTCCAGTAGTTTTGTGCCTCCTTTCAGTCGTGGTGGAGCGAAGAAGTTATGGACCTCCAGGTGGGGTCATGTGTAAGTCTTGTAGATTTTCAGAAAGAGCTCTAGAATGAGGGCGCCCAGTTGTCTGCGCACAAAGTGTAGTACGCCGTATTCTTTTGAGGCATCTCCTGAGTAATTAGGACTGGTGTCCAGCTTCTCCGTCACCATTAAACCCAGATCTCTTTCTGCTGTGGTATGGAATAAATGTGAACCATGGAGAGAGTGGGATACTTTTTGGGAATCGGGAGTGCAGAAAAACATGGACCGGCATTTATCCAAGTTAAATGCCAGTTCGTTATTTGTTGCCCGTTCCTCTAGTGTCTTGAGGCCGTTCTGTAGTGCACTCGACTCCGCTTCGCAAGTCACCGCCCTCCATAACTTAACGTCATCAGTGTACAGGAGAATCGGAGAGCTGATATGCAGCGGGAGGTCACTCACGAATAGTAGGAACAAGAGTGGGCCCAGGATGGCCCCCTGTGAGACACTGTATGATGATGTTCTCCAAGTTGAGTGGGCCCTGTTGACTTTTGTGCAGAACTCCCTACTGTCTAAGTAGTTCTGCAGCCACGATAGCACCCGGCCGCAGATGCCCAACCTAGCTATTTCGTGTATTAGGATGGTGTGC